AAAAAAAAAACGGAGGTAAAAAAAAAATAAACGGTAACCTGGTTGCCGAGTTCACGAAGTGAATTGGCTTGTTTTACAACGTCTTTGCCAAGCGACGAAAACCCAATCCCGATGGCAAACACCGGGGGGGGCGGCTTGTTTTACAACGTCGTTGCCAAGCGACGAAAACCCAACCCCGATGGCAAAACACCGGGGGGGGATGGACATGCCAAAATCAGACAAAAAGGATGGTGCGGTGGAAGTTATAGTGTTCTGATGTCGTGCGCATGTTGGTCCCCTCATCTTGTTTGTAGCCTTGTTTTCCGACCCTATCGTGTGCATTGGACGTTTTGGTACGCTGCGGTCAGCGAACGATATCACCAGTACTGCTGTGTGATACGAAAGTTTTTCCGGCACCCCGCGGACCCCTTGCGTTTCGAAGGCGTACGGTGACTCTTCGAGTGTTCCCTGAGGTCTGCGCGGTCGTGGATTCCTACGTCATCGGCTTGAGTCACCCACTAACAACATATTGGTGAAATTGAGAGCGAAGCATGAAATTGAGAGCAAGAGCCAAAACATTTAAAATTCGGGTCCAGACTCCTCTTGCCATTTCTTGGGAAGTTGGGGGCGGGCTCTTCCAAGGAGCGGCGCAAATTGAAGGTCTCATCAGCAGCGTCACGAGCATATGCGTGTCATCGTCATCGGATGCTGCAGCGAGGAGCTAGACAAGTTGCTAGATTTGCCCAGATTGGCTATTTCTGCTCAAACTGTTTCAGGGCGGTATCGCGTCGGGCGGTGGGCTCTGCTGTAGCTTCTGCTCCCCGCTGTAGCTCCACAACGAGAGACTCCCACAGGATGACCAGGGTAGCTGCTTGTAGCTACGGACTGGCCCTTCAGTTCAAGCTACACAGCAAGCTCCACCTCTCAGCAGTAGTCCAACTGCAGCGCATCGTGCAATCTCGCTCTCAATCAGATGCTTCGCTCTCAATTTGACCAATATGCTGTTCCACGTGAAACCCGTTTGGGTCGCTGCGGAGTTCCTTTCCACGGCTAACGCTTCATGCCCAAGAGTGTTGTCCGTCCATGCCGAGACGATGTGGATGAACATTCTCTTGAAACCAAGATCGCGAGAGTAGAGTTTCTTCGGGGAGAGAAGCGACCGTTCCAACTGTGCTACGGGGGTTTACCTGTTTAGCAGGCTACGTACTGTACTGAGCTCTGCGAGCTGTATTCAGCTCTGCGTACTCAGCTCTGTATCGCCTTCCCGCTGCTGATATAATAACGGGCTGTTTGAACACGTGTGACGGGGCAAAACGTTTTTCGTCGTGATGAAATGGCGAGGCCCTCCTCACCGGCTGAAGGCCCGTCTTACCGGCATGCGGCTCGGCTGCGCGCATAGGGACACTTCTTTGTAGCCGCCTTGCCATCGCTTCCCCGTCACGCTATTTTCCTCGTGCACGTGCGGACAGACCCATGCTAAGCGCGACGCGAATCGAGTGCGTGTCCTTACTCTGTGTAGAGGCTTGTGCTTTTCAAGCATCAGGCGCATGGGACACCTACTTTGGTGATACTTCTTGTTGCGTACAACTCCACCAAAAGGTACTCCTCCGAAAAATCTCATGTCGTTTGCCGAAGTATTGCCATCGTTCTTTCCCTCTGGTGCGTTGTTGATAGTGTTCCGATATTGGAGCCAACGAAAACACCGCATCGAGCTTTATCTACAACCAACTCAATTTGAGGAAAAAATCATCCCCGACGTACACTCTACTCTCGGTCAAACGATGCCCAAAATCCCGTCTCTCTCTTTTCTCGCGTCAGGTATCAGAACGGCGACTATGCCATGGCGACAAGAGCATCTTCGGGGTCATCATGTCCGACTCAGTTCGGCACGTTCTGCTACATCACGGACACCTTCATCAAGGCCGGCTCACCTGAGGAAGTAAACATTAGGTGAGCTCCAGGGAAGACGAGCACGACTCAAAAGACGTTGACGTGGATATTTTTATTCGGTCTTGCGAACGCCACCGAACCTTCATCTGGTCGGGCGGGATGCTATTATCGCGGCGGTGATTGCATTCAGCCAGTTCGGAAACGGCATCTTTTCAGGGGATTGTAGGCTGGGTGCGAATTGGTCCAGCACGCCATGCGGTGTAGTGCTCTGTGATGAGCTAGGTACATAATTTGATCTTCTGCATTACCAACATGAACGTGGAGCGAAGGGCCACGCCAGCTCAAGACCCGGCCACAAACTTCATAATAGCTTGACACGGGCACAACGTTTTTTTCTAGGCTGTCTTTAAGACGCAATCAGTTCCTATCGACCCGAACGATGTTCCGGGTGGTTCATATCTTTGGAGCTCCTTCACCGAACTCCCCCTGCTGGCTGTTCTGCTGCTTGGCTTTGTGACAGAGGGTACCATACTTTGCTTCCATGCTTTCCCCGTTGTTTTCCCGTACTTCAGCGACAAGGAAAGGAAGCTTATACTTGCGTTGTACCACAAGGGCGAAGAGCTCTTCGAGGACGTTAACGAGGAGGAGAGAAGGTAAACGGGAAGAGACATGACAGGAGAAAACGCGTGTTGACACAGATTTAGTCGTTTCCGACGCTCGTACATATTCGCGTGTCTTTTCCTTGGTCGTTGAAGAAAAATTGGTATGTCATTATCGATCTCTCATCAGCGTTATCTCACTTTCCCGGACATTCGAGTTGAGAGGCTGTTTTTCAAGCATTAAACCACGTTAATATTTCCTGCAGAAGTTTTTTGTTTTCCGGCACTGTGACCCACTCGCAAGCACCTGGATGTTACGTGTGAAGGAGATTCTGTTGGATATGGTGGCGCTGCCGATCCCCTCCACCCAGGGTTAACGTAGATCCGTGTGCTCGTTTTGACAGGGGTGGGTGTAACGGCCATGGCCAGGCAAGGCGGCAGAGCTGAAAGACGCCACCTCCCCCGTAAACCACAGCCTAAACCCCTCAAAATGACGGCTTTTCAGGATGATTTTCAGACGAGCGTATCTGGCGGTGAAGCGTATGCTGGAAGCCAATCTCCTCCTCCGCTTTCTGAACACGGACCGCTTCAAGAGCGTGGAGATGCAGAAGGAGGACACTCAGGTTATGGTGGACTCCCCGCACCTGCAGGCGGGAGTAGCAGTTTCTTAGACGTGATGTTAAAATCTAGACAGGCTCAATGATAACGCGGGCTGGATTCCTTTGCGGGTTGGGATGGCACGGTAAGTTTGTCGGAATACGGTTACTTTTTCAGATGTGGGGACATGTTCAAGCGGACCGCACTTCGAGCGGACCAATATCACCGCCGAAAACAATTTCGTGGAGCGTGAAAAGGCAGGGGGCGGCGAGTGGGTTTTCCATCTTGCGGGTAAATCAATGCGAGGGGATTGAATAGTTGATCTTGACGCCAACTTCCCTGGCCTTCCTTCAGACACCCGGGTCAGTGCCAATCGATAGTGCATTGAACCACTCACATCTGCGGGTGTGTGTGCTGAGGACTTGGTTACTTTAAGAGAGGCCGCGCGAGGGAGAGGGGGGGGAGACAGAGAGAGAGAGAGAGCGAGAGAGAGAGAGAGAGAGAGAGAGAGAGAGAGAGAGAGAGAGAACGCTTAGCGATGCTCCTTGAAGCTGGACTAAAGGGCTAGCAAGACTTCGTTGCACTCCACCTTGGACGCATGTTGTTCGGGTGGAGGTATTTGTTTGACGTCCTCCTCAGCTCGTGATGCGTGTGTTGCGAAGCTGCTTCAGGCTGAGCGAATTATCACAATCTCGGAACGTTCCAAGTGATATCAGCGAGGGCGGGAGAGCTTCGTTGGTTGCACTATTTTAACCAAAGCAGGACATTTGTTTTCATGCAGGTGGGAACACAGGGAGGGGTTCTTTGCAGGAGCACTCATATGTAGCGGGGCTGTGCGGTTTTTCTCACGCTACCACGACCGTGCGGTGCGTCTTTTGATTCGGTTGTAGTGTGGTGGGCTTTTTCGAGAGGGTGCGTTGCGGTGTGGTGCTGTGCGGTTGTTTTCATGTTACAGCGCGGTGTGGTAAAGCGCGGTGCGGTGCGAGGTTTGCACCTCGGAAAGTGACGGTGCGGTGCCTTACGGTCCAAACATTACCGCACTGTCGAAGAACACGACACCGAGATTGTTGACGTTTTTTTGGCACTGGCCAGGTATTCTACGGAGCGGGGGCAGTGGGCCGACAACTGTGAACTTTTAGTGAAACGCGAGGTGGCGGTAGGGAGTTCGCTGAATCTCGTGTGTGAACGTAAGTGCGTTGGGGGGGGAGACAGGTTCAAAATGTGTTTGGGTTGGACGACTACGAAGATTTTATTCAGAGGTGGGCTTGCGGGGGATTGGCCACGACAAGGCCGAAAGTTTGACAACCAGCAAGTAGGCTATTCACCTTGCCGCTACAAGCGCATGGTGAGCCAACACGTTTATCGATAGAGACAGGGCATGCATTTTCATGAAGATGGATAAATTCAGGAGGTTATATCCGGCAGGGTTCGGCATTGTATTGTGCGGGGCGGAAGCAGCAGACCTTCTGCGGTAGACCTGGAGTGAAAGCGTCACGCGACGAAAGAAGATCTAGACTTTGAATAAACGGCTTCTAATTGACAACATATCATTGCGGACTTATGTTTGGGTTGAACGGTTGCGAAAATGCAAACAACGGTTGGAGGTAGAGCTGCGGGGTCGACCATAACAAGGCAGCATGTCACACAAGCTGGCATATTGTAGCCCTTCTGCGACAAGCGCATCTCTTCTGTTGCCACCTCGTAGGTGGAGGACATTCCAAGATCTTTCCTGCGGCTGGCTTGCAACGAGAGACGCGACCAATCCGGATATTTTTCTGGTCGCTTGTTTCTGTCCCTGAGTGGTAAACGTTTGGCATGCCGGACTGACAGGTAAAGGCAGTCGGATACGGGGGGAAGAAAACGCGGATGACGCGAATGGTGGGAGCGGAAGATGAACATGAGGTCGTGCCGCCTGGTCGCGTCTGTCGCCTGGTCGCATCAATAGGCATTGCTTGCTGTTCTTCATTCACTCATGGTAGTCTAACGAGTACTCGGCTGGGGAATTCACGGGTGCAGCCTGTGTATGTTTTCAGTAGCTGCTTCACGGTAGCTTTGGACACGGTTTCGCTGCTGCTGCCGCGTGTTCGCAAATCGCCATTCGAATACGGGCAAGCAGGGCGAGGTGCGTATATTCCGTGTTTTGTGATGTTCTATTTTCATGTGCACGGCATCCACACTTGGTTCGGTTCATTTTGCACTGTAGTAGTTCACTTGTTTGAGCGTTTTGATGCATTTTTGTAGTGTCCTGTTTTTGTTTGCCACCTTTAAGCGGTTCAAAGTATGTGGCTTTGGACCTCAATATCCTGACGCTATTGTTGTATATCGCTGACCGCTGACGGAAAGTGAAATACTGGTGTTAGTTTGTGCTGTTCTTCGAATTTGGCGAGGCGTACGTGACCATATCGCCCCTGAAAAACATCGGTAGGAAAATACGCTCAACAGGTTTGTCTCTGCTTCGGGGGTTGCTACCTACCTTGACGGCTTCGGGGGTTCAGTAGTGGTGTGCTTTGCCTCCCACATTCATAACGTACAGTAGCACTTCAAGGTCTCAAAAAAGCCTTTGCTGCCCAGTTACTCTCGCGTGACCACTTGTCTCACCGACCACGACGAAACGCGGATTGTATGCACGATCAACCCTCAGACACCAAGACAAGACCCGGGGCTCTGGGACGCCTTGTCCGTCGCCTCCTGTGTTTCAATTTACGGGTAGACGGCGGGTGCGGCTGTGACTTCGGGAGAACGCGAGCAGCAGCCAGCCTGTAGGCTAGCTGTCTTCCTTTCCTCCGCTACACCACGATCACAACTTCTTTCTCTTCTCGCGCGCGGATGCCTTTGCGTGCTCATTCTTCCCTGAACACTCCACCGATATATTATTGGTCTGTGCCTCACTCGTGATGTGGCTGCCGAACGTCCAGTTGAATGACTCGTTTCCGGCAACACCTGTTCATATGCCCGGTACACTGCTTCCTGTCGCTGTCGTTCTGGACTGAAGGTATCTCTTCTGCTCAAACGCTCAAACCACCGAATTCCTCTTTGCTAGCCCCGCTCGTGTGCGAGCGTTGTTTCAGTTTTGGCTCTCTCTAAGCCGGGCGGCTCTTGGAAGTCCGGAGAAACTGGGCACAAAGTCGACCACCCAATTCCCTGGCGTGCGTACACTGCCCACACGTTGGAGAACTCACTCCCAGCCCTTTGCCGGATCACGTTCATCGACGATACTTTCAATGGGTGCTAATTCTGGCGCACGTCTCAGCGGGGGAGTCATTGCCTCTCGGTGGAGCCTGAGTCACTCAGCTCAATAATCTTCGGCTCAAATTGCACTTCGCGTTTGAGGATAGTCTAATCGGTACATCCCCCGACACCGTATAAAAGAGAGGGGAAAAGTGTGAGCTCGTTAACCCTTCGTTATCCAAACACGTAAGGAACCCAGCCCCCGGCCTGCATATCGATACTTCTACCTGTGTGTGTGTGTCCTAATATCGAAACCAGCTAAGTACTCTCCCGTGTGGGGGCGGGGAGTCCATCATGGCCTTCGTATTCTCTCTTCGCATCCTCGCGTTCTTGAAGCGGTCCGTCTTGAGGAAGCGGAGGAGCAGGTTGGCTTCCAGCATATTCTTAACGTCCCGATACGCTCGCGAAAAAAGCATCCTGGAAATCGTGATTGAGTTCGAGGTGTACATGTTGTGGTTTGGATGGGGCGGCAGGAGGTGGGAGTGTCCATATGACTGTCGGCTACCTTGGCCATGGCCGCTACTCTCAGCCCTGTCATGTCAGACGAGCACACGGATCTACAAGAATCCTGGACTTCGCGGATGGGCGGCGCCTCCACATCCAATAGAACCTCCTTCACACGCATCGTCCCGATGCTACAGTAGTGGGTCACGTTCCCGAGGAACAAGACAAATGGCGGGTTCCGAGCTAAAGACGAATTGCCCCTGCGGGCACGATTTTTTTTTTTTCAAAAAATCGACTTCGCAGATCGTTCTGAAACGACGAAACGACCAAATACGATGTCAGAAAAAGTCGGCGAAAAAAAACAAGTCGACCTTCGGCTCGAACTGTTTTTTTCGCCGCATTCCCGAACTTTTTTTTTTCTCGCCGACCTCGGCAATCGCTTCCGCTCTGTCGATTTAGGGGGGGTTAAGCCACTCAGAAAGTTGGTCAGGCAAAAAGTGGTGCCCGCACGGGGTCTGGAATTATGAGGCGTGGCGACGGCCCAGCGATTACCGGCCCGGGCGAATGTGAACGCGTTATGTATGCTGGTGAGCGGCAGTTCAAAGTTGTGCAGAGCTGGAGACTGAAGGAGGGACGCGGCGTTGAGATCACTACCAAGCTCTTCGACCCCAAGGCTGGCATGTTTGCGGCCTACGCCACTTATTTATCGGGTGAGACTGTTTTGGTGATGTATTAACTTCACGGGAGGTAGACGACCGTCCTTCACACGGACGAAAGAGGGAGTGCTCAAAGAGCGGCTCCCACAGCAAGGAGGGGCCCCGTGAATCATCGCGGTGCCCCCTATCAAACGGTTATCTTACCAGTCTGCGTGACACAAAATCATCCAGCACATGTATCCAA